CACTCCGTCATTTCATCCAATATCACATCATTAGTCAACATTCTTCAGCATAATTCTGTTCATCTGTATTTCTGATATCATACCAAAGATCATTCACCTCTATTCCATCTAATATCACATCATTAGCCAACATTCTTCAATATAATTCTGTTCATCTGTGTTCTAACATCATACCGACGAGTCACACTCCTTCATTTCATCCAATATCTCATCATTAACGAACATTTTTCATTACAATTCTGTTCATCTGTGTTTCTGATATCATACCAAAGATTTACACCCTTCTATTTCATCCAATATCACATCAATAGCCAACAATCTTTACAATAATTCTGTTCCTTGGTGTTTTTCACATCATGCCAAAGACTCACATTCCTCCATTTCATGGAATATCACATTAGTAACCAACATTGTCCAAAATATTACTGTTCATCTGTGTTTTTCACATTATATCAAAGATTCATATTTCTTCGTTTCATCCAGTATCACATCATTAACCAACTTTATTGAAAACAATTCTGTTGACCTGTATTGGTCATGTCATAACAAGGCTTCTGACTGCTTCATTTCATTCAATGTAACATCATTAAGCAACAGTCTTTTGAGGAATTCTGTTCATCTGCGTTTTTCGCATGATATCAAAAATTCATACTTCTTCACTTCATCGAATGTCACATCAGTAACGAACATTGTTGAGTAGAATTCTGTTTGTTTGTATTTGTCAAAGCATACCAAAGATGCACATCCCTTCTTTTCATGCAATATCACATTAGTAAGCAACATTCTTCACCATAATTATGGTGAAAAATGTTGTTTAATGCTGTGACGTTGAATAAAGTGCAGAAATGTGAATTTGTAATGAAAAGTAAACAACGCCGTTGAACAGTATATTAGTTTATCCCAGAATAATATTCCTAATTGAACTCGTGATATAGATAATAAAAGTCATTTATAATTTATTATTTTCGTAATAGTTTTGAGAGAGCGCATTTCTAAATGAATATGGGTGGGTGTAGCGTTGGTGTGCGGGAGTGTGGTTGTGGATGGATGTGTGTTGGCGAATGTGTGTGTGTGTGGGCATAGTCATAAGTGTGACTGTGATGGTGTTGATGTAAGTATTCTATTCTTTTTGCACTCACTCAGGCCCACGCGGTCTAGAAGTTTCGATTACGATATTTTCGAGTATGCTCGTGTTGTTATTGGTACTATGCAATCATTGCCTGTGGTAGCAGTATGTGTTCCATCTGAAACACGTGGTCTTTTTGTTACAAAAGACAGAATAACTTCCATCTCATGTTATAGGGAAAGAGACGAAAATCAGATTGTCAATTGTTGTGTAAGCTGTTCTCAAGGTATCGATATTAATATGAATAATAATTGAACTTGCGATATACCATCTGCGATTATTTTCAAAGTCAATATAAAAGAGAATACGACATTGGATAATGCTAGAACATTTTACAATATTAGTATTTAATGCGCTCGTCAACACTATAAAGCACTGAATACAGCTCGTACTGCATTGCACATTCTAAACAAGGATGGAGTTGCTCAACACATTTACGATCTAACCTCATCAGGAGAAGTTTCCTCCTTTTCAACATTCTGTATTATTATCGTTCATTTTATTAGTTTATTACTTATTAAATGAAGTAAGCATGAATATTTTTTCTGCCAACCATAAAAATGTTTCCAAATAATACTTTTCATAAGTGTCACATGGATGTAAAAAGACAGATTGATAGTCTGTCTAACTGCCTTACAACCATGCGGGTGTGGGTGTGATTTTGAGTATGGATGGAATATGTAACAAACACCCACACCCACACTCACACCAAACTATTTCAGATAGAGTATCGCCCATCATCAATACCAAAGGACAGGTACTTAGAGTATGCCAAAATTTGCTAATAAGACTACAGAGAGGAGGTAATAAAGTTTTACTTGAGCAATTGTTGAGATTCATAATTATGCTCATCTTCACACAATCGATTTGTTTTGAATAATTTTTGATTTGAAAAATCATCAAGTTGTTTACATACGCTAGATGCAACGACTTGAGATTAATCAATTTGTTTTGAATAATTTTTGATTTGAAAAATCATCAAGTTGTTTACATACGCTAGATGCAACGACTTGAGATTAATCAATTTGTTTGCATATGATGCATTAATGAAATACAACGAATACATGAAGTAATAGTGCATGATAAATCCTAAATTTAGAAATCATAAGTTAACTCAAATTTTCCACATTAGAAGAATTGTAGGCGAAGAATCTCTATAGATTTAAATTCGATTTAAGAGCGAAGGATGAAGATGATGCTCTGTGAGCATGGGGAAGATGTGGGCGAATAGATAATGAACCCGCAGCCTATATATATATATATATATATATACATCGGTATAGCATCAGCATATGGTAGAATTGAGTCAATCAACTAGTGTGGGTGAATGAGTGGAAACAAATGAAGAGAATAATGGTTTATCCAGGTTGTGTTAATCCATTATGATTTTTGTCTTAAAATTTTAATGAATAATCTTTTATGACGTAATTATATTTGAACTAAGAATTTTACAATATATAATTATTAGCTTATACAATTAATTCTTTTGTAACTACTCAAGATATATAAAAAAGACCAGAATATCTTTCCTTTAAATATTTATCTCGTTCTGCTTTATTCTCTCATTATATTTTCATTGTGAAGTAAAGTACAATTTAATTTTATGTTCTTTTTCTAAAATGTGCATCAATATCATACGAAGGTTCCTTTTAAAATTGCTTCCATCATTTCTTGTTAAAGGCGACTACAAATTTCCTATATATTTTTGACCCAGGAAAAGGATATATGTAGGTTTGTAGAGAAAAATTTTCTCTATCGAATGGTATATATCCTATCGAATTCTGTTGCGCACCAAAAAAAATGGTTTTTGGCTTGAAATCAAGCCCTTAGAGATCTGCATGGAAGTCAACTAAATGTCTTGGCTATAACTAATTTTTTACATTAATTTTATTTTAAATTGAAGGTTTTGTTCTCTGATGTTTTCTCTACAAACTGATGTATTTTGAGGGTCTAAATCAATGTTTTGTTGAGGTTCACGGACACAAAAGAAAGTTCGATGCATGTCTGTAACTGGCTTGAATTCAAGCCAAAAATCGATTTTTTTGGTGCGCAGCAGAACTCGATAGGATATATACCATTCGATAGAAAATTTTTCTCTACAAACCTACATATATCTTTTTCCTGGGTCACAGATCTGTAGTCGCCTTTATGTGAATAATCGACATGCTACAATTTTAATCAAGAATTAATCTATACAAGATTCTTTTTGACTTAAATTTTGAGTAAATCATTCTATAACAGGATTAATACAAATATCAATAAGGTTATAACTATAAATTTGAAGTTTTTTACGACTCAAATTCCTCACAGTTCTCTTAGTCAATAAGTATTGATATTTTCTCTTTGAATCAACAAATCGATCATTTGTACTGTTTATTTCACAAATTAATATTCGATTGATATGACGTGCTGTTATTCACTAAAAATCATGTGCATCACATTGTGGATTGTTTATGTAACGTTAATAAATATAGTTAATAACTCTCTTAGTAAATGCATTCATTTTCATCTTTGTATCTACTCTGTATGAATTATAATGACTTTACAATTTTTTCACAAATCATGTTCATTAGCAATTGTGATATATTACTAAGGTGCATGTGGTGATAGTAGCAATGGTGAAGTAGACAAATATTTTTTCTCTGAGTTGATGACTTCAATGTTTGAGCATTGATATTGTATATGAATTCTCTAAATCTTGATCATTGCAATTAATAATCTCTTCATCCTTTTTTTCCAATAAGAGGTAGTTCATGTATAGATACAGATTGTACAGAACGTGCCGATATTATTATAGGAGGTGCAATAGGCGGTATGATCGGATTGATATAACTCAACATATATCTATTCAGCAATGGTAAAAAAAGATCATGAACAAAAAGCTAAACATAATCTTGTGATTTTTCTGATGATTGTAATGAATAATTTATTCCATATTAATAATATTCAGATTCATCAACAAAGGGTGAATTTATAGAATTAACTATAAAATTCGACCTTGTGCAAGTAAAAACAAAACGAGGTCTTTTATTATTCACGTTTAGTATTAATTGAAGTTTACCTGTTTAGAAAAACACCCTTAAATAAACTGATTAATTTTTTCTTTTAAATATCGCCTCCTCTTTCTAACTAATCTAAATTCAAAAACACGTAAACATATTTACTGACGTCTTTGGTGATGTCTAAATCATGTTTTCTTCTCACATTTATATATTCAATATAAAAAAATATCTAGTGTTCATATGTTCACACTAGAATCTAATTAATTTGGTTATAGTGGAATGTATAAATTTTATCATGTTTTCCTACTAATTATTTATTTTCGAATTTTCATCCAAGGCCAACCACTTCGACGTAAATATTCTTTTTATCGTTCTGATGTATTTGTGTATATCTTTACTTCTAGCTAATATTGCTAATCATGGTCTCTATGATGGTATTAGTATTGTCTGTTCAAATGGTAATTGTCAACACCATACTACTATTATTGCGGGAAGTATAATTGGAGGTGGTACTGGAATAATTCTTCTCTTTATAGTCACTTTACTTTGTTGTCATCATGCTAAAGGTCGACCATTACAAACAAATTTAAAATTCGTTAATTCAACAAATCATAAAATATATAAACATGAATTATACGATGTAACTATTTTTACATCTGGTATTTGGTCTAGTCGACATTATCAATCTGGAATGTGGCATAGTTTTTCTTACTTTATGCTTTCATTCGATTCTAAATTATTCAAAGTTGCTGGTTCAGGATTAGATAATATCGGTATATTTACGATTGATGGAACTTATTCAATTGAAACTGGACGAATGGGTTTAATAAAAACATATCAATTAGGAATGAAGAAACGAACAGAAAATTTTAAATATCAAATGATAATTCAACTTACTTGGAACTCAGAAACATATCAATTCGAAGGCAAATGGTATGTACAAACAAATAAATATCGTGGAACAGATAAATTTCAACTTAAATTTACTAAACAACAATCTTCTCCAACCAATAAAGAAAATTCAATGTGTTAAACAAGATATTTTATTATATTGAATAGACTTTTGTGATGTAATAAAAATGATTGTGGTATATTAAATAGTAGTTATCTACTTCAAATGTATGACACATCATGGTACCTCTTCAGTTTCAGAGATATTATAAATGAGAATGTTAATATAAAATAGCCTTCTCTTTTAGCCTTGGATAGAACAGACCCATTTACACTTAATAGAATATTTCAGTCATGGGTATTTAAACTATCTCATAATATATATAACTAGAAAATAACAAGTTAGTTTTCTTGTAAACACCTTTCTTTTTCAAATATAATGTAGTTTTATTATATAACTACATTATGCATGAGATAGATATGTGACGACTCATTAGCGATTGATAGAACGGTTACATAAAACAGAGATTATTTCACTTAACTTATTACTAAAAATAGTTGTAATCAATCAGTACATATACTACTATTACAGGCTGGAACATTTCAATTTCCATCAACATAAAAAGCAAAATATCATATGATTGAAATAGGAATAATTTTTTATTGATAAAATATTTATGTTACACAGCATGTAGAAAAATAACTCTTGACAATATTGATAGAACTTATTTTCTTTAGTCAAATTTGGTTTCAAACGATAAAACCACCTTGTATTTATTCGTTCTTTTATCAATATTAGAAGAGAAAAAAAAGAAAGTCTTTGATAAAATACTCATAATCGTTTTTTTTCTCTTCTGTTTACACCTTACGATACTAATAATTATGTTTTAATAACCAAAAAAAATCTATACAATAATAATCATAGTATTTATAAACGTGTATTATTAATGAAATCAATATATACTAGAATAGAACTATTCTATTCATTGTTGTTGTTGTTTTTCTGTGATGAAAAGAAGAAATTTATTTTGAAGTATGGTACAATCAAACAATGTTTAGTTTATATATTATATTAACATAAATATAAAAGATGTTATTGTAATTAATGATTGTGTACATAGTGTTTTCTCTTTTCAATCTTAGATATCGCACACCTGCAAATATTCATGTTAGTTCATCTAATTTTCTTTTAAATGTTTCTTTAAGTATATATCTTTGATGTTCATCAAAAAATTATTCTATAATAGAATGAGATGTCCTTGTAATGCTAAGAGAGTATTTTCTTTATCATTAACTATCAAATGTCCTTGGTACTGATGAAAAACGATAGGGTAAAATGTTCTTCTTATTGTACGACAAATAATGTCATAATTCTTAATGTAATTATTGATAGGGAAATAATGAAGAGAAAAAGTCGTCTACATTATATTGTAGTTCTTCTTCTTTTAACGAAGTAACAATACAGTTGAGTGTGATCGTTTAGAAATAATACAAGATGGTGGTCATATAGTGTAGAGAGAGAGAAAGAAAGAAAAAGCTAACTCTCTCTCTTTCTCTTTTTTCTTCACGTCTATCAGCTGAAGAAATCTAAGAGAGAAAGAGAAAAGGAAAAAAGATGTAGCCAATCTATTTCTCTATAAGCGGCAAAGACGTACATATATAAATACATCACATTATATCGAGGGATATCTTATCAAGTACAAATCGAAACATTCTAGGTCGTTTTCATCATATGTCAAAAATATCTTCGTAAGTTAAAATCTATGTACAGAAAATAATTCTAGGGTTTTTCTTCTTCTCTCTTTAGTTTTCCATCTATAATGACTATGTTTCAAACGTCAAATATTGTTTGTCAAAATGTTCATTTAACTGATGATCTTAAGATTGGTCTTGAATATGATCGGTTTAATGGTTTATTGAATATATTTGTGAAAAATATTGGTAATAATAATCAATTACCATCTCATATTAATATTCTATCAAATCAATCGAATGATTACGACTTAACTGTGAATAAGAATGAATATCTTTATAATTCATCTGAAGATGATGAACAAGGTTTGTACATAAGTTGTTTTTTGATTCTTATCTATTAATTTGATTTTAATTTTCTATATTAGATATTGAGAATGAGATAACTGATTTATCCTACAGGGATGAATATGAGCCAAAGATTTGTATCGAATTATCAAATATCTATGTTTATGATTTATTCGATGAAAATGAAAATGATCTTTGTCAAACAGTGATTACATCACCACCGTTATTATTTTCTTCCTCATTATCAACATCATCATCATCATCATCGTGCTTCGATGAACAGACAACTGATAACGATGATGGATATTCAACTCATTCATTTGATGATATTGACCACCATCATCATCACCAGGAACAACAACAACAATCTATATCAATTCTTCCATCTAAATTGATCATACCGTTTGTTCCTTATCAACATCATTATTATCCTGAAGAATACGTTTCATCTATACGTCGACTTATTGAACAACTTATGTGGTTAAGTCCATTCAAAAAAACTGTTAAACAAATGATGATCAATCATTTGTTTCATTAACTACTAACATAATACATATTCATTCGGAAGTTATATGTATATGTACATGAGTGTTTGTGTGTTTCTGTTTTTTGTGTGTGTGTATACATGCGCATTTGACTTTCGAAAAAATATTATTTTTTGGATTTAAATCCTCAAAAGACAAAAAAAAAACGTAAAAAGTTATTGAAATATGAGTCATCATCTTCATATTTACAATGATTGGTAGTCGACATAAAAAGGTGAAGCAGAAAGAAAAACTCTAATCTCATTACTATTTCACCATCTATATATATGAAAGCAAAAAGAAAAGAGAAGTATAGTTGCCATATTTCTTTCCCTTGATCTTTGTTGTTTTTTTTTCTATTTGCGAATTTTATCGATTAATTTGCATGTACCTATGTTATATCTCGGTGAAGTATTATGAATTTTGTTGTTGTTTCTATTCATTTATACGTGTTCTTTTTTTTAAATATCTGTCATTATAAATTATGAATAAAACCGTATATACATATGTTGATGAACATTCAATTTCTCCATCATTAATCTGTCCGATATGTTTGGATATCCTTGAAGAACCTCATACACATATACCTTGTGATAGTGCATTTTGTCGTTCATGTTTATTACAATTAATGGAACCATTGTGTCCAATATGTCGATGGACTTGGAATGATTCACTTCCTCTTGATTATAATATACATTTACCAAAAACTAATCGATTAATACGTAATATGCTCGATGATTTACAAGTACAATGTATTCATTGTCATACAATTCGTCGTCGAGGACAATTTGAACATGAATGTAAATTAACTCGGAAAGAATTTCAAGAAACATTTACAAATATTCGCATGATTTTCTCGATTATAACTCTAATTTTCTTTCTTACATTAATTTATTATTATCGTAATTATGTATTTGAAAACGGAATTGATCGTCATAATGAATTAATCAAAGAAATTGGTTATAATCTCGATTATATATTATTAGAAAAACTTTATTATTTAATAATAAAGATCATTGAATATTCAATAACAATATTTATAATTAATATTTGTTTATGGTTTAGTATAATTATTTATGGTGATTATTTTCTAACAAAAACAATTAGTCGAATATTAAAAAATATTTTTGAAATAACAATAATTATTAATCTTATAATTTATTCAATTAATAATTCGTAGATTTCAAGTTCTCTTTTTTCTTTCTTGTTTAATGTTAATTAATAAATAGAACAATGTTTGCTTCAATCAAGATGAATTGCATTAACAAAATCTTGTTGTGCTTGTTTAGCTATATGAACAAGACTTTGACGTTCATAATTATTATCATTAATTATTTGTTGAAGATGATTGTCTGTAAATGATTGTTTTGTAGTTTTGTCATTTTGTAAAAAAGCCAGTAAATCATTTGATGATTTATCCGGTGAGATAGAATTACGATTAATAATAGATTTTAAATCAAATCCTTCATTATAAGGAATTATTGCCGCTGAACCATATCGAATTGGTGTGTAATTTTGATTTGTTGGTAATTTTGAAGAATTTTCTAATGATGTTTTAACATCAATATCGATTGGTTGATCGATAACTGTAACACATTGAATTGGTTTCGTATTTATTAATGATGAAGATTCGTTTTTACAAGGTACAATTTCGAAAGTATCATTTTCTAAAATAGATAAATACGTATTGTATTTTGTTTGTGATTGAAATGATTATTTTACTAACCAATGAATTCAAAATTTTCAATCGGATATGTTCGATTTAATACTTCAAAACCATCATCAGTATCCCAATCAGCTCGTCTTGCCATTGTGTACTGTACGAAAAAGTTGAATGTCTATCGATAATTTCACTGTAATTGCATAGAAAAAAAATTGACTCATACGTTATTTTGCTGCGTGGCAATAAGGACGATTTATTTTCTTTTCTCCGTTCTCTTCTCTAAGCGAGAGAAAGAAGGAAGAAAAAAAAAGGAATAGTAGCAGCGAGTAGTTTCGATCTACCGACCTCTGAGTTATGAGCCCAGCACGCTTCCACTGCGCCACGCTGCTGTATTTCTTTACTTCATATTTTGCTAAATTAACGTGCTCGAATAACAAAGTAAAAAAAAGACGTTGAATTCATTAAGTATTTCGATGATTTTTTATTCTTGACTGTTAAAATAGAAACATATATTTTATTATTATCTCAAAAAAAGAAAAATAATGCATTATAAATTAGAAGCACATTGAGGATTACATGTATTAATACAATGATTCGGATATTTTTCATTAAAAATGTTACAAAACCCATATCCTTGTTGCATTAAACAATCTTTTCGATCATCATAACATTTTTCACTTCGAGAAAATATAATATTATTTTGATATGGTGTCGTTGATGAACTTGAACTTGTTGTTGTTGTTATATAAGTCGTATAATTTTGTTCGTCATATGTTGCTGTATCACTATCATTATCATTATTTACTGTAACAGGTATATTTATATCATTTAAATTTTTTGTAGTTCCACATTGACCACATGAACGTTGACATGCTTCAAGCACCGGAATATAATTCTTGTCAACAAGTATTGTAAAACGATTATCACAATATTCACGATGCGTTTGATACATTGTACAATATGTAGTTTTATCATAACATGTATTACCTATAAAATTTATAATGTATTTTCTTTAGTTGAATAAAACAACATACATTTATAAACATTTTCAGTTTGTTCACATCGTTCAGTTGCTGAACATGGATTACTTGCACATAGATCTGTATACTGAAAAATAAGATTATAATTAATAAGAAACATAAAAATTCGATCGAAAAAAGTTTACCTGACAACGATCACCCGTTTTTCCTGTCGGACATGTACAAATAAAACTATTTTGAGTTGCTGTACATATACCACCATTACATGATGTTGATGTACAAATTGTTGCTATAAATTAAAAATATAATATTTACATTAATAAGAATATTTCTATTACTTTCACAATTCACTCCGGTGTAACCTTGAAGACAAAAACATTGTGTATATAATGCTCCAGTTACATTATATCGACCAAAACAAGTACCACTATTTGAACATGGATTCGTTTTTGTACATGGATTTTCTATGAATGAAAAACAAATTGAAATTATTTTTCTTTTCTTTTGATATTATTTTACCATATTGACATGATGGTCCAATATATTGTGATGTACACATACACATACTATTAACACATGAACCACCATTATTACATGGTAGTAAACAAGTACCAGGTACTTGTGGAGTCATTAATGTTTCACAATACACACCGGTGTATGGAATTTGACAAGTACATGTAAATGAAACACTTGTTGAATTATAATTAGGTTGACAGAGACCACCATTTCGACATAAAGAACTTTGACATGGATTACCTAATTCATAGAATTTTTAATGAAAAATCAATGAAATCAAATTCATAATACTTACTATATCCACAAAATGTTCCTGTGTATTGTGCTGGACAAACACATACACCATTAACACATGGACTTCTAATAATAATATGTAAAAAAACGTTAATATTTATTAATATAGAATTTAATAAATACCCATTCATACATAATCCACCACATGGATTAAGTAATGATGTTTCACATTTGGGTCCTGTAAATGTTTGAGTACAAGTACATGTATACCAAGTATGCGTTGTATTCCATTGACTTTGACAAACTCCATTATTTAAACATCGAGATGATATACATGGATTACCTAAATATATTATATATTTAAAGCATATTAACTCATTTTAAAATCTTAGTTTTTTTTTCTTACTTCTTTCACATAAAGCGCCTGTATAATTATTTGAACAAATACATGAATAAGATGTATTTGATCTTCCTAATGCACAATAACCACGTGATTGACATGGATTACTTGAACATGGCTCATTTAATCTTTGTAGATTACATTGTGGACCTGAAAAACCTTCACGACATAGACATGTCGCAATTGGAGGATCGGTATTTGATGCAACACATGTGCTACCATTTAAACAATAAGATGATGGTGATGATGATGAAATAGTACATGGATTATCTTAATAGATAGAATTACAAGGTTATAACAATATATACGTATCTATGAAATCTATCTAAGTGACAAGATATAATTTTCATGCTGTTAGATAAACTTCTACAATTATCACTAATAATAATATACATACCATATTGACAAAATGTTCCAACTTTATTACCGGAACATGTACATATAGGTCCTGTTGGTTGTTCACTACAAATTTTATTGGATGGACAAAGCATATTTGCACATGAACTTATAGCTAAAGAAAAAAACTGTAATATAAAAGAAAAAAAAATATATTTATAATTATTTATCTTACGTGTATCACAATTTTGTCCATAAATTCCTGGTGGACATACACATCGATATGCTGACCAATTAGTGCCAGTATTTGTCAGTAATGTTGTACAAGCACCACCATTTTTACAGGGGAAATTAACACAAGAATCTCCTAAAGAATTTTCTTCGAATTAATAATTATCTAACAAAAAGAAAAAATAATAACATACGTAAACTACAAGTTGGTCCAGTAAAACCAGTTGCACATAAACATTCAGCCATTGTTACAGCTATTTGTCTGCATGTCCCACCATTTAGACATGTATTCGATGAACAAACCGTATCTAAATACCATTATCATAATTATCAAATACAAAAAACAAAGAAGAAATATAATTTTCATACTCCATTCACAACGTGGTCCGGTAAAACCATTTGGACAAATACATCGAATATTTGCATTATTATAATCACATGTACCTCCATTTAAACATACATTTGAATTACATGCTAAACCCAAATCTATTTATTAATAAAATAAAAATTCGATTAATTTTTCTAGCAAAACAATTCATAACATACATATTGAACAATCATAATGTCCAAATCCTGGTTGACATAAACACATAAAATTATTTTGTGGACCCATTGGTACACAAGTACCTTGATTATAACATGGTTGTTTTTGACAATTATTTACATATTGACATCGATCACCAGTTAAATAATCTGGACAAACACACTGATAACTTACTGGACTCTTATTTGGTATAGTTTGACATTTTGCTAAATAATGACAAGGAGAATCTGAACATGATGTTAATGTATCTGCAAAAAAAAACAAAAAATAGGATATTTAGTTTTTGATTTTTCAAAATCATATTGAAAATTTACTTGAATTACAAGATTGTCCGATTAAGCCATTGGGACAAATACAATAATAAGATGAATTAGACGTAGAATAACAAGTACCATTAAATCCACAAGGATTTTGTGAACAAGTACTTAATGAATTTAATGATATTTGACAATTCTGACCAGTAAAACCTTGAGAACATACACATCGTAATGTATTATTACCAGATGATGCATCAATATAACAAACACCATTATTTGAACAAGTTGCACTTGTACACATTGATAATACTGTTTCACATCTTTAAATAATATTAATTATTAAAAGAATAATTTTCGAAGTTTCTTTTAATCTTACCGATCACCAGTTGTACCTGATGGACATTGACAATAAGAAATATTATTCATTGGATTTACTGAACATATTCCACCATTCACACAAGGATATGTTGAACATGGCATAACCTGTTGCTCACAATAAACACCAGTTGTACCACTTAAACATTTACAAGTAGCAGAACATAATCCTGCAGGACAATTTGTAGTTGATGATACACATTGTGCACCATTTCGACATTGTGAAGATATACAACCGCTTACTAAATATTAAAAGAACAAATAGAATAATAAATTATTTGTCTAGCATTCATCAAACTTACTGTATTCACAGCTTGCGCCAACAAAATTAGTTCGACAATTACATCGATATGTTCCATCTTGTATATTTGTACTTCGAACACATTCACCATCATTTAAACAAGGATTTGGTGTACATATATTTATAATCAATTCACAAAGTAAACCACCGTACGGTGGTGAACATTTACATGAATAACCATTTGATGATTTAGAACAAATGCCACGATTTTGACATGGATTACTGAAACATGGATCACCAACAATTTCACAATTTGTACCTGCTGTTCCATTGGGACATTGACAAGAATAACCACAAACTGAATTCTGACAATTTGTTGATGTTATACAAATACCTTGATTACATGGATTTGATAAACAACTACTGACTATAAAATAATCAAATAAAATTAAATCTATCATATATGTTTTCTTTTTTCCTATCTTACTTAAATTACAACGAACTCCAGAATAACCATTAATACATTGACATTGAAAAGCACCATTTGTTAATGTTGTACAATTTCCATTTACACAAGGATTTGATTGACATTGTCCGCCAACATTCGTCTCACATTGTACACCAAGATAACCATTTACACAAACACAAACTGGTGATCCACATGATGTATCTGTACAGGTAACTGAACAATTACCATTATTACGACAATAATCCACACAAGGATTATCTATAATATATATATCTATTAAAAGATTGATATTTAAAAAAAATGAATCATACTTATTTGACAGAATTTTCCTCGATAACGACTAGTACATGAACAAACTCCATTTGATAAACAGGTACCACCATTTACACATTGACATGTACCATTCATACTTGCAGATGATGATAAAGTCGTTGTTGAAACAGGCATTGTTGTTCTTGTTGTAATTGTTGAACCTGAAATACATGATGATGGTGGAAAACAAATACATTGTGCAGAACCCGTTGTAATCTGTTCTAAACATGGACATGCTGTTGTTGTACAACTTGTTGTTAAACAACCATCTAAAATAAAGATGAATATTATTATTTAAAATAACAAAAAAAGATATTAATTTACTTGAAACACAATAAAGAAGATTTACACTAGTTTGAGATACAATACGAAAAAATTGTTGTTGAGGATTGTAAGTAGTTGTAAATATGTATGATCCCATAGAAAATATAAGATTGAGATTTGACATAAAATTAATATCTTTTGAATCTCCTGTTTCAATATATCGTTCAAATGCAACATAAATATTTTTATCAGTTGTATTAGTACGAAAAATACAAAAATCTTGTTGACTATCAATTAATGAACTGTTAGATTCTCGAGAATATCTAGAGAGAATATATATATGAAGTAAACTAGAATTTATTAGAATAAATAAAAATTACCGATCTTGAACTGTTTGAGTTCCTGGAAAGAACATTGCAATATCTGCATTATTCTAAATTAAAAACATTTTGTTTATTTGAAATCGATTCATCTAGATAAATTATCTATTAAAATCAGACTACATACCGTAGCTGATGTCGCATCAGACCATCCAATTGCAATATATGTCGATGCAAGATTAATACTATCGATGACTTTTCCTAATATTCAATGATAAATTAATTAAAAAACATCGATTTACAATAAACTTACCTTCAATTATAAATTGAACAGTATTCGAAACAAAATTATATCGCCATGAAACAGTGAATGTACCAATATTTGTGTCTTGTATAGGCCACATCCCACCGGAACATTCACCTTGCATTGCTATAATATAAAAAATCGAATAAAATTATTATCTTTTCAATTCATTTTTATGCTAAACATACGTTCAATAAATTGAATGATTAATAAAGATAATACAGAAAGATAGTATATCATCTGAAAAGATACTATTCTATTTTGATTACGCATTTACAAAAAAAAATAAGCAAGAAAAGAGTCATACAAGGACGATAGGGGTAAGATTTGTCGACATGTAAGTTCATCGAACTTGCAAACATTCTACTACCTTTCTATAATAATTCTGCCATTATATTGTTATTATTGAGATGTATTTTATTTTCTTCGATTTATTTTTTCGTTTTTGTTTTTTATGAAAGAAGTACGAATAATAATTACATCAATAGTCTCATCAAATTCATATTTAACAAAAAAATCGTAGGCGATATTTTGTCATACACATAGATTTCAAAAGAACTCAAGGATTGTTTTTGTTCTTTCATCTATCAATTACTATCGATGACGAATATTATGAATACAATAAATTGACTTCTTACATTTTTTTTTCTTTTCATATGATGAAATCTATGGTTAAATCTTTAAAGATACAGTCATGATATATTAATTGTAGATTAAAATAAGGTGTCATGAAGTCGATTGATATTAATTTAGAGAATATAAAAGTCAATAAAGAAATTACAAAAGCGATTTTAATCAAGTGATTTAAATTATTCTACACAGTATGAAAAACTTTCGACATTCAAGAATATATTATGTAGAAAATGAATACCTGATTGTTTAAAATTCATATATAAAATCGTACTTTAGATGTAACATGAATTGATTTTTAAACGTATTAATTGTTTTTTTATAGTCTATGTTATGTATTTATTTCTGTTAGAGTCATATTATAAGAAAACAATCTATATATTATTTGTTACTTGTCGTCATTGACTTTCTAATCTATAGGGTATATATTTTTATTAACAAATAATTGAAAAAAAAGTCAATTACTAATACTCATCTCTTAGAAAATATATATATTACCTGAAAGTATATATTATTGTGAGGTGACATAATGATTCTTTTTATAAGCAAATTACTTCAATACAACTTCATGCATTCTTGATAAAAAGAAAATATTATCTTCAACAGTATTTTCTAGTTAACTATGGAATTCCCTAAAAATATGTGGAAATATCTCTTTATCGAAAAAAAAATTTATAATTGATAGTCTTACGAAATCTGTATTAACAATCGTCTAATATAAACTAGAAGATTCTTATTATGTTTGATGTGTTGAGTGTGAATCTTGATAGTTCTATGTTTTCAGACCTACACTCAAACCCTTCCAATCAAAACCATTTAAATCATTCGAAATGTCATTGTATAAAATTGAGATAACAAAATAAAAATTTTTTAGATATTAAAATTGAAATATTATGTAATAAATAGTACAAAAAGATAATTTTGTTATCAAGTAGAAATATTTATTAAAGGAGTATTCACAAGTTATTAACTCAACTTAACTGTCAGCTCTTGTCGCAATATGTTACAAAGAAAGCGAAATTATGCTGATCCATCTGAATATGATGGAAATAACAAACTATTTCGTTTACCAAAAAATGATGTTGATTTAAAAGGAATGATATTTGAGTATTATTTCCCGACAAAGGGATAGTCCAATATCAATTTTTAAGAAGAAAAACGAAGATATTAATAAGAAAATAATATTTATATGATACCCATGTCACCTCTTTTTTAAGGACTACGTCATAGTTGTGCGCATTGACTCTTTTGCGGGTGTGGGTGTGAATGTGATATAAATATGATACATTTACCCACACAATGAATGGTATCGAAATACGAATACACGACAATGCGATTATTTCGTCGCAATTGCAAAAAGTTGCGATTATTGTGATGCAGTTCCGCGTAACTGCGTCGCAATTCCAGAGGCACAATGCGATCGCAGTTACGCCGTAACTGCGTCGCATTTTGATCGTA